CTGGTAAGAAATCAAGAACTGACGAAATTAACGAAGTTGATGAAACCAATGGCACTGGTGATGAAAATGACGAAAATTTGGGTTTAGAAGAAGAAAACGAATCGTCAGGGTATATCCTGCCCGCTGGTCCCGTTGGTAAAGTTTTCCAATTGAAAAACGACTCTGGGTTTCTTCGTCGTCGTGCAAAATCGAAGGTTATTAGATATTTCAAATTCAATATTGATAATGATCGTTCTGAGTATTTTCGAACTTTGTTAATGCTCTACCGTCCTTGGAAAAATGAAGAAGAGGATTTACTGAACGTTGACTGTGAGGACCTGTTCAATAGTAATATTGAAGAGGTCTTGGAAAATAAACAGGAATTTTGTGCGATTGAAGATTCAACCCTCGACTCTTATATGGATCAACTTCACGAAGAGCATTCAAATGAAAGTGAAGAAAAGAAAATGGTGAAAACGAAAATGACGAGGGTCAGTCTACTGGTGGTTCGACTCAGTACTATGATCAAAAAAATGATTTTGGAAGGTATACAGTTGATATTGATGATTCAAGTGAGGGAGACTACCATCGTAGTAACGACCTCTCGGATGATTTGCGTGAAGGGACAGCTAGAAACAACGATGGTCAAAAGACGTATCTTGAAAAGCTTTCTAGACCTGATAGACTCACCAAGTCCAATTTCTATGAACTAGTATCAAAGTTGAACCAAAAACAACGTGAGTATCTCATGCATTCTGTGAACCACATTAGGTATAATCGTGACAGAACTACTGTGCGCATGTTTAGTAGTAGCAATGAATCCGTTAAAACATTTGCCCCATTTTATCATTTTGTAACTGGCGGTGCAGGTGTCGGCAAAAGTATGTTGATAAAAGCATTGTATGAAGCAATAAGCATTGAATTTGATGATGACCGAGATCTTGAAACCAACACCCCATCAGTGCTACTCACAGCTCCTACCGGAAAAGCTGCTTTTAACATTCGCGGTCAAACCCTCCATGGTGCTTTTCAATTGCCAATAAGCCAGTATGGAAAGGGCGAGGTAAATAGACTATCAGCCGATGTAAGCCATTCTATGTGCATTGCATTGAAGGATTTAAAAGTTCTTATTATCGATGAAATAAGCATGGTTGGAGATGTTATTTTTTCTTGGATCGACAAAAGACTACGAGATATTTTCGATTCTTTGCTGCCTTTTGGAGGTATATCAGTTATAGTCCTTGGTGATTTTTACCAGCTATCCCCAGTAGCTTCATCACCTTTGTACTCTACCAAACCTCCGTCAGACCCTTATCTTGCAACATTTGGTACACGATTGTGGAAGGAGTTTGCAGTTCATAGGCTGGTACAGATCATGAGACAAAGAGATGACTTTCATTTTGCTGTTGCACTCAACAACATGGCTGTTGGAGAAATGACTCAAAATGATGTCGCATTGTTTCAAAGCAGGGTTTTACGGCTCACTGAAGAAGAATTAAATGGATTAAAAAATGATGAGGCCGTGTTTCCTCATTCAGGAAACATTGCTCTCTCTAATTCTGAAGAAAGGCCTATTCGATTATTCCACACCAACAATATGGTTCGTAATATGAATAGCGCTATCCTTGCGAACATGGCAACTGAAGGTGCCGTATCTGTCGGTTTTGACAGGGTTCTCGGAGATTGTACAAATGATACTGCTGTCAAGCACATACTTGCTTCTGTGGCTACTGATTCAGTTCACACTGTCAAAAATCTGGGATTGATGAAGCACCTTAGATTACAAATTGAAGCAAGGTATATGATCACTTCAAACTTGGATACATCGGACGGGCTTGTAAATGGCACCACCGGTTATTTACAGCAGATTGACTATGGCACGCTTAAAGGATCATCTGGTGGCGAAAAGAAGCCATTAAGAATATGGATCAAGTTTGACGATGAGACAAGCGGGGCTATTTTGAGAAAAAAACAAACAGCTTTAAGATCAAGAACTCGTTCGGTCTTGGACAACTGGACTATGATTGAGCCGGTTTCATTGCAAATAACCAGTAACCGCAAAACAAATTTGAGGGTTAACAGAAAACAGTTTCCAATTGTTCCCGCAGAAGCCTTAACAATCCACAAATCTCAAGGCGGTACTTACGAAAATGTTGTTGTGTATGATGTAGGAAAGCATAAAATGCAAAGATCTTTAACTTACGTTGCTTGTTCCAGAGCCACAACTGCTAATGGCTTGACCCTTGTGTGCAAAAACAACACTTTTGTTCCGCCAAAACCCTTATCATCTGAAAAAAGCAGTGATTTATACTTAGAAATGCAACGTCAACCAACAATCATGCTTAACCCCACTTTCTTAAAGTTGACGAAAAAAGAGCACTTTCAAATTATCTCGCACAACGTCCAGAGTCTCCAGGCTCATTTAAATCAAATTACAAATGATCCAGTATATCTTTCATCAGATATCATTCTTCTTAACGAAACTTGGACATTACCGACCGATAACTTCGTCATACCAGGATTTAAGTTGGTATCGTCCTTAGATTGTACAAGCTCTACACGTAAACCTGTAGGATGTTGCTGTTACGTCTCTGATAATGTAACTTGTGAGAGTATGACTTCTTCCTCCGAAATTTTTCGTAGCAATGTCAACTCGTCGTCGGTAAGCGTGTCCACAGTGACAATTGATTCCACAATATATTGTAGCGTTTATGCTTCACCTAGTCCAACACAAAACACTGATCTTTTGCTCGAAGCTTTGGAATTTATAATTAGACACCCATATATTAACATCGTAATTGCTGGTGACTTCAACATCGACTTCAATCAAGATTCCACAGAAAGAACGGCAATAGTTTCTTTCCTGGGCCAACATGGTATCCAAAGCTCGCTTCCTGATTTCGTAAAATCAACTACAAAGTTAAAAACTTTCATCGACAACATTTTCACTAATCAAGACGTAATTTCTTCTGGACGATACATCTCATTCACAAGTTACCATGAACCTCTGTGGATGTTGACTTAAAAGCAAAAATAAATAAACAAATATGAATATTTCAATAATTATAAAATCAACTTTGGGTTTGCTGATGGGTCCTCCGGGAACCGCGTATTTTTACCGGAGCGAAGCGCAGGTCAAAAAATATGTGGTCGGAGGACTGGCCTAATACGCCTTTTAAAAAATGGGATCAGCGACCCGAAGGGGAGCCCCATTTTTTTTTTTTTTTTATATAAATAAAGTCTTTTTTATACTTCCCTTGTTCTGTTTCTGTAGTTTGTTCTGGTACGGATCAAGCTAGTAAGGGATTCGGTTCGTCTATCATTTCCATTTATATCCGAATTTGTCTCTTCTGTACCAACAGCACCACGGATATTTTCCAGAACAACATCTGTAAAGCCAGGATCACGAAGATCAATACACATATTGTGCAAGAGGCAGGCTGAAGTAATAACCTCATTGATTGACAGCTGATCTAAGAGGTAGATATATCGACCAGTAAATCTCCAACGAGCCACCAGTACACCAAACGCTCTTTCAATAGCCATTCTTGTGGCCGAATGTATATGGTTGAATGTACGTTTATTGCTGTCAACCAAACATTGACTTTCCGGGAAGGGTGTAATTAAATTGGGACCCAAAGGATATGCAGAGTCACCAACCAAAAACGTACGACCAGGGAAGTAGGTCTCAGGGTTTGCAAGAATGGTTCTAAAGAGATCACTCGAGGTGAATGCGGCTGCATCATGTGTTCTTCCTGATAGATTAATACATATTAGCATATTTGTATTTTTTTAGGTTTTTGGCTTTGGTTACAATACCTGAATCACCTACTCTGATGTACGTAAATCGCAACTCAGAGTCACAAACTGCCGTCAGTTTGACAGAGTAATCATTCTTACGATCTCTGAACATCCCACCAGCTTCACCAGAAGGCTTGTAAATTTTGAAATTCTTGCCATCCACAGCACCAATAACGTGGCTCAACCTGCGACGATCGTTACTACCAAACCCGAGAGCTACTTCACCTGCTTCCTCTGGGTCAGTTGGCCAAGCAACTAAGTGACCCAGTCTTCCTTTGATTGCTTTGACTGTTCGTTTGGTGAAGTTGTTATAACTACCGTAAGAAACACCCAAATGCATATACGGTTGACGATATCCGATATGACTATTGGCCAAACGAAATAAAGCCGTTGCGATCTGAATGTAGATCGGGATGGTGTTAGGTGCGACAAGGTTGAACGCCTCGTGCAAGGACAGCTCGTTCACCAAATGCTCGAATGCACGCTTACTCATGCGGTATGTTGCCCGGTAACTGTTGACTTGATTCTCGTCATCGTCGTTCAGAAAAGGGTGTTCCAATTTCCAAAAGTGGTATCGACGAGACTCTCTACGACCATCGGCACCAACAACCGTTCGGGTTCTCTCGACATATTCACCCCCGAAAAAAATGGGTAAACTGGTGATGGCAACACCGAATTGACTCTGGAAGTCACTAGCAATATAACCAAATTGAAGGCGTTCGGCAATCAAGAGTTCACTAATCGAGTGAAGACTTTTGGCATCTTCTTCCAAACGACGTGAATTTTCTAAAAGTTCCATAATATGAAGGTGTAATTGAGACATGACAGTTGCAATTTGAAGAGGGTTCATTTTTGTCAACTTAAAAAATAAAATAAATTATGGAAAGGGGGCAAAAGAAAAAATAAAAAAATAAAAAATGAAATCCAGTCCAGACATTTTAGCAATTCGAGAAAACATCAATTTTAATCATCCAAAACAAGCCATTTAAAAAGCATCGTCACGAATTTCTGAGAAAATACATCTTTTTGGAATCTGAGGTGACCTTTCACCAAAAAAAAAAAAAACGGAGAAGAAAAAAAAGTCCTATATTTGGACCATTAAAAAAAATTTTTGTGTGCTTGTGAGGGGCCTTCATTTAGTTAAACAACCTTCTATATTTCCTTTTACAAACGTTCTAGAAGCTTTTAGTTGATCTTCAACGTTTATAACCTCACAGCATATGTCAAAGTTGTCAGGCCTGCAAACAGACCTCCACGTAAACACGTTAAGCCAGAATTCAAACCCATCAATCCGGGCCGAACCAAGAGGCCCAAGAAATACTCTGATAAATATAGTTCTAAATTAGTTCTTAATAAAATAACTTTTCTTTGCTTTTTAAGATCTTCAGTCCCCCATTAGTAACTGCCATTCCGGAAACGGCATTCCAGGGACTGACAAAGTATGTAAGTTTCAATATAGTTCTAATTCAACTCTCAGTGGTTAATTAGAAGGGGAAATAGGTAAATAAGTATTTAATACTAAAATAGAAGATAATGGTTTATTGTTCTAATGTTAAGGGATATATATACTGAATGTAAAGATATAGGTGATGTGATAAATATAATAATAAGGTATGGTGATGGTAATAATAGTAATAATAGTAATGATGATGAGTAATATAAACAGGTTGTTGATGTGAAATAGGTGAACCCGAAGTGGCGTTATGTATATACATTTAAGTGGTGTTATTCGGTTTGGGCCTTTTCCTATTCATGTGATTATTCTTGACTGGTACAAATAACCTTTTCTGGTTCTTGGTCTTCTTAAGCCTAAGTTCAAGGTCCCGACTTCGGGTCGGACTAACCCGGCTAGTCACGTGATTCTCTGAGGCATCAGATCCATCGACATTTACAGGCTTGACACGGTTATCAGTCTTGTAATAGGCTAAGTAGTGTATGTAAGATTCAACTCTCAGTGGTTAATCAGTAAGTAAGTAAGCAAGTACTTGAAATTATAAAATAGAAGATAATGTTTATTTGATACAAAGCTAGGAGCTATTTATACTAGTTTGGGGAATATATAGAATGTGATAATAATGTGATAATATGATGTTGATATGTATGGTGATAATATAATAAAAGTATGGTGATAGATATAAAGATTGATTGTGATAAATATAATTAATCAGGTTATTGAATGTAGAAGTAGTGTTGTGATATTTATAATAAAGTGGTGTTACTTCTTTGGCCGTTTTCTATTGGCATTGGTTATCTTGGGTACAAACTTCCTTTTTAGAAGTTTAGCTTTCTTTAATCGTAATTCGATTTCCAGAGGCATTTCAACGTCCACGGTAGAGTCCGGGTCGGGTTCAAGAGTCCGGGTCGGAATGTGGCTTAGAGAAGCATCAGAAACATCGACAATTCGGGGCTTGACACAGTTGTAAGTCTCAAGGTATATTATAATTCAACTCTCAGTGGTTAATTATAAAGAATAGTCAAAGAAGTATTTAATGTCAAAATAAAGATAATGATTTATTAATGATACAAGTTGGTTATTTATACTTGAGATAATTGATAGTGTGATAATGAATATAGTAATTTTATGAACAGGTGATGTCTTGATAAGTTGAGCACCTGTTTAATATATATGATGAAGAGATAGTAATCCCGAGTGGTATGATATTGATTTAATAAAAGTGGTGTTATTATTGTTTCCGCTTCTTTGACCTTGTATTGTTTTTAGTAAGTGGTACGAACTTCCTCTTCTGATATTTGGTCTTCTTTAGCCTGATTTCGAGTTCTACCGGAATATCCATGTCGAGGTCCGTGTCTACCGGAATGGTGCGGGTCGGACTGCTTGGTACTTTGATTGTAGGCATCGCTACCATTTTGGTACTGACACAGTATTGTAATATGAATATAGCTAGTATTCGGGTTATCGTCGGTTGGACAATGGGTAGTGTTCTCAAACGATAAGAGGGCAATAAATGAAAGGTAGCAGCAGACTATAATACCCAGCAAATAAATGGTCATGTTAATAAGTTTCGACAAACGATCCATTAATGCAATAATACACCTACGTTATTGGATGACTAATAGAAATGATTCAAGTAGACAAAATACCAATAGCACACAAAACTACACACAGGTCCGAAATTTAGAGATAAAAATAAGATAAGCTTTATTAAGATTCTGGCTTTTTGAGGGCCTTTTATATCTTTTACATTAATTGTGATTACATCAGATTATTCCTTGGGAAGCACGACATCTTGTACTGCAAGAGCAAAATGAGAAGATTACTCATATTATTACTATAAAGAGGGTGTATATCACACGTAAGACTAGATGTCAAGATCGAAATTACAGTAATCAAATCTTGTGTGAACAAGATGAACGAGGCAACACGAGAAGAGAACAAGAAAACAGGAACACGAACACAGACACAGACAACAGAAATAATACCACCTCGCACTGAGTACAAATTGGTGACCCGCAACACAATTGACCAAAACGAGCTGAATCTAAACTTGTGCTCAGACACAAAGTATTACTCTTTATGCTCTACAGTACTACTACAAGAGAAGTACGAATACCAAAAGTGAGGCAAGCCTTGCACGAGGGCAAAAACACAAAGGAAACAAAGACAAACACCAAGCAAAACGAAAACAAAACCACCTTACATTCACCTCATCACGACATTCCACACCAACCAAAGAGGATTTACCAGAAGGATCAAAAACGACTCTCGCTTCGGCCGAAGGTTTACGCGCTCACGTGAAAGTCATGTGATTGGCTCAAATAGAACAACCGACAAAAACAGAAAAGCATATGACAAACATGTCAATCCCACCAAGTATACGCTGACGGTAGGTACTTTATCAATCGTTATAAAAGGGAAAGAAAAGTTATTTTTTATTAATTATTTCTGAGCTATTCTTTTATCTTGGCTTTTTGTTCCGGCCCGGGTTCACTGGTTTGAACTCCGCACTCGTACTTTTTTACATACAGTTATGACCAGTTATGACTGGTTAAATATTCAAATTGATGGGTCATACCCGGACTCCGTTAAATATACAAATACCTGGAACTCCGGTTATGACTGGTTAATTATGGTAATACCTGTACCATCCTTTTGCATTAATTACCTTAAAGACTGTACCATCCTTTTGCATTAATTATGGTAATACCTGTACCATCCTTTAGCATTAATTATCTTAAAGACTGTACCGTCCTTATGGATTAATTATCTTAATACCTGGATATATAGCATGGTTTCATTGGACTAAATTTTATAGATGGGGACATGATACTGGCTGCTTCTTTGATGATTCATAATATAGCTTTGGTATTACTGGCTTGATATTCGTCATATCTTATATATGATCGTACATCATTGGCTTTAATAATCAAGATGATGATGAATTCCTTTTTATTACTGGATTAATTATAGCATCTATTCAGATATGCTTTACGATCATTGGATTAAATTATAGAAAAAGATGTATTCAAATGGGCTTAATAATAGGATTTATGGGATGAAAAAATTTTTATTTTGTAAAAAAAACACGTATACACACTAGATCTATTTACACATTCCAAATTATAAAACTTACCTTACCGTGTACTTGTTTGGGGTCCTATAGTCATCAGGGGAGGTAAAAGAGTATATCGTTTTATAACCATGGGGTTCACGTCAAATACAATAAACAAGTAGAAAGCAGCGTTTCGTAGTTATGTTTACTAAAGAGAGCTATTGGCGCGGTGAGACAGTGAGACAGCGAGACAGTGAGACAGCGAGACAGCGAGACAGCGAGACAGAGAATCAGCAAGACGACTGAAAAACGAGGAGTCCTAAGGCGAGCGTATGTTTACTATTCTTGTCAGCCAGTGCGTATATAGTTTTTGACAACGATGATATTTGAGCAGAATGCAAAAGGGGGCTTGAAGTTGGGGAATAGCTTGGAAATCTATTTTTAAGACAATAAGTTAGCTGAGCGAGACAGTATGGTGTAAATCTTACCCTGAAGAAAGTCAAAAAGGAGTCATAAGAAGCAGTTTTACGGTCATTAAGTAGGCGAAGATTAAGATGGCACCAGTAAAAAGTAGGAATCTAATAACAAACAATTAATATGATAGTCAAAAAGCATGGTATATATAATTTACCGATATCAAGTTGCAAAAGGAAGAGCATTGTTGGAATCATTTAGATAAAGTCTTGGCAGCCTGAAACCTGTTTTCATAATTAGGTTTTGATTTTTACCCATTCTCATGTTGACGTTACCTCTTATTGTCGTGGTTCATTAGGCAACCATACGTAAGCCAGCCGTGCCAAAAAGCCAGTAATAACCAGAGTCTTGTAGGCATCTATGAAAGATGATTGTCAGTCTTCGACACGTTTCAGAAGGAGTGCTTATCTTACCATTTTTTTTTTTAAAAAAAAAAAACAGATGCCCGAGTGATGGCCCAAAAAGAAAGCCTGTTATTTTGTTAAGAGAGAGCCAACGAAGGGGATTAAGGCCAAGAGAAAGGAGACAATGCGTTATGCCAATGTAGAGGAAACAAGACCTGTCATAGAAAAAAAAAGGCAGGAGGACGATTAGTTTCGAATGAGAGGCGTGGCATTTTTAAAGTTCTTACAATAGGGACATATGTAGGCCTGGGCTGGTTACCTCTTTTAATTGAACACTATACAAGAGTAATGTTAGCTGACATGTTAACTCTTATAAAATAAAAGAATATTACTTACAGAAAAAAACTTTTTTTTTTTTTTTTTTTCAAAAAAAGGAAAAGAAAAAGAAAGTGAAAGAAAGAGATGGAATAAAAAAAAGAAAGATGAAAGGATTAATTTTTTTTTTTACTGTGACAAGTTTATTGTGTGCAAAAAAGGGTCTAATTATAAGCGTAGATCCAAACAGTAATAATATTGTTCTTTACGCTTCTTTACAAAATAATATGGCAAGTAACACAACAAATAACATTACTTACAGCGCAAACGGTACCCCCGTGGTGCAATCCGCTCAACCTGCAGCACCCGCCTTTGTTGCCCCTCCTAGAAGACGTACTGGTGATAACCAACGCATTGCTGCGCTCGAGAGTCGTATGGATGCATATGAACGAGGAAATCGACGTGTTGGTGGTGAAAGAATAGGAACTGATCCTCAACAGAGTGTAAGAATTATACCTATCTATCTATTAAAAAAATATCAGTACATCATTTTAATATTACCATCTGTAGGCCCTGATTCGTGCTTTCTACAGGCGTGCATGTAGGGAATTAAATCTTCCTGCTTGGGATGTTAATTCAACTTTGTTGGAGGGAACAAATATCGAGATTTACAACCATATCTTGAACCAATTTCGTCTGGAAGAAATCCGCACGTATGGTCTTCCGGATACTCACCAGCTTGGAGAGAATCAAGCCTCTGTTCTGGCCAGGCGTATCAGAACGCACCAGGAGAATGTGAGAAGACGAGTCCGTCGCAATGAGACTCAAACAGCAGCAGAAGTACAACAATCTGCTGTTGTTTCTAACATGGAGTCAAGAATGGCCACCGTAAGTATAGTATAAGAATCAAAAACACACAAAATATTAAACTGTACCTTCGATTTAGAAAATGAGAAGACGTTTAAGACACTTTGAACGTTTTCAACATTTGATTGAGGACCGCCTCCATATCTCGTCTGGCGATTGTCACGCTGTGGTGCAGCCGGAATATATGTCAGAGGAGGAAAACGACGCCGTTAATGCGCACGGATTGGCCACGTCGTTGGTGAAGCTCTGTCCCTCTTGGAGATCTACCAAGGCAAGTTAATAAATTAAACATCAAAGCCAATGCTAATTTACTTACAACATTTATTCTAATAGTTGGAACAGGTTTATGCCTTTTTGGATGCTCCTGTCGGTCCATCTCGAGGTATTTCATTACCTCGTACCTCAAGAGTGGTCGAGTCTCCCTTGACTACAGAACAGCGTGCACGCTTGCCCAGATGGGCCATTTCATCTGAATAAAAATAGATCCTAAAAACCATAAAAAAAAACCAGATAATACAGAGAGAAAAAAAAAAGAACGTTTTACCATTTAAAAAAATAACCTCTGAGCCATGTTCGTTACTACATTGATGTTGTCGAGGTGACTAATCTTGACTACAATGGGTGAATGAATAAGATGAACAGGCAATATGGACATGCGTGACATCTCTTCAAACTCATTGGCAACAACATGCATGTTGTGATGGTTATAAGAACCCAACTGCACCGCTGATTCCTTGAACCACCTTAAAAAAAAAGTTAGACGCGTGAAGAAAAAATGGTTTCACGTTTATACTGTACCTAACAAAGGCAAAAGTGTGTGTTCCACTGGCTATTTTCCTAGTACTCTGCATTACATCTACGGAATGGCGAAAGAACATGACCACTTGAGCAGGTCTGAGCACGCCAGAATCTGAAATAGACTTATAGTGGCGTGCCGTACGCTCACCACTAGTCTCCTCTTCCCTGACTATATCCTCGTGATCTGTCAGACGATAAAATGCACGGATGTAAGATCCACGTGCATTGGCACAAGCTGATTCCATCGACTTGAACACAGCACCAAAAAGATTCAGAGTGATGAATGTGGTGATTCTGCTGGTAGCGGCAAAAGGATCAAACCATACGTGATACAAATCAACGTAGTAACGCAAAAGATGTGTAAACATCACCGAGTCCATATTGCATGGGCGTTTAAGCTTCATGTCTTTCAAAGCGGTTGGTGGCAGCTCCTCATACCCATTCGCAATCTTGTAGCCGTGATTGAGCTCAAGGAAGCAAGAAAGAGAGAAATGTAATTTTGAATTACGGTATTCCCCTTCAAGACCTTCATTTACCTTGTCGTACCCATGGATGTTACCACCCGCAAACAATCCTTCGACCTGTACTTGGTGTCTTGGTCCCAGTACCAAGGAAGAGTTTAAACCTTTGAAGTAATCTTCACTGTGAATGGCATGCAAAAACTTCTTCATGTACGTTTTCTCGACCGGCCCTTTTCGGTTTGTCTTGAATGATTTGACATCGCAATTGTAACGTTCGAAGTTAAAGATCCACGACGAAGGACCTGGACCCCATTTTGTCAATACCGTTTTCAAATGAGTGTGGTAATGCATATTGGAAACGAACAAGGTAGGATCTTTGTAAGTATCAACAAAATCATCCAAAAATGTCATCATGTGCGCATGCATCTTGTCAACCTCTTCCAAAGAAATCACCGGACTCGACAGGTACACATTCGCAGCAACGAAATCCATCCAATTATCATAGTACTGTTTAGGGAGTCTCATTGATAGCAAATATGGAGACATGGCCAAAACCCAAGCTTTGAATTCGTCGCTTTTTACATGTCCAAAGCCAACTTCACCGATCTTCATCTTTCTACAAAGTGATTGACCGTCATAGCCAAAAGGCAACACAAGTTTCTCCGAACAGGCTTTTGACATTTCTTTCAAATGTGCTTTGCTGATCAATGGCTCCGTTCTATCATTGACAATATTGATCTCCTCTCTCCAGATCACACGCATCATTCTTTTGGCCGTACCCATGAAAGTGTTGTGGCAGATATCGAACACAACAAATTCAATGGGATCGAAGTATGAAAGGCGAAGTAGCTCACTATATCTTACACCATTTTTCTGCTCCAATTCTGTACGTCCACTTGCAGTCGCAGTGTTCTTCCAGATATCAGCGTTTAACCGATGACTAGCCGCATCACGAATAATCAAAGTACCATCTCTAGGGGCAGATGC